CTAAAACACTGATAAATATGACAAAACAAAATAATAGAAATTAAAAAATAAGAGGTGTCTTTTATTTGAAAACACAAATGATAAATAATAATAATTTCAAAATAGGGAAAAACAATAAATATTAACTACAACAAATATTGTAAATTAACTTTATTAAGAGTTAATATTGTATAGTAAACAACAGAAAAATACTAGGGGTGAACCCAATTCATTCACCCCCTCTTTAATACGCATTCCTGCGAGGCCAAGATTAACTACAAAAAAAGTTGCATCGACTTTTATAGTCTTATTTACTCATACAAAACGAGTTGTCAAATTTTAACATAAGAAAAAGTTTTGTTAAAGCTTTCAGTAAACTGTATGTACGTAACTCCACATACAACACATATATTTTTCGAACAAAGAAACCACTAAAAAATCTATTAAAAAACAAAATGTGTATGGACATATTCAATGTATCATTGCCTCAAGAGAATTTCAATGCTAGCATTTAAATGCCATAAAGGTTCAAACAAAAGTAGCATTTCAATGCCATCAACAATGTAAGGAGAACTCAAGAGCTCGCTACAAAACAATTCGCACTTAGTTGTACTCTTTTTTTTTTTTTTTTTTCATCTGTTGTACTCTAAACCTCCAATTGCCTCTCTCGCTCTCTCGTCAGGTTAGTCTCTACTTTTCACGATTAACCATATTTTTTGATATGGTTTCCTAGAGAAAATGATTAGCATAATGATTTGTGAATTTGATTGATGACAACATGGAAAAAATAATAGCAAAACATAGAAAATCTCTTCTTATTGCTAGTGCTTGTAGTTGTATGTTCACTACTTTTTTTATTACCAGCTTCACTAAGTTTATCTCCACGACAATGTTTTTGTTGGACTTGTATTTGAACTATTCACATGATACCCTTAAATATTTGTTCCATTTCACCATTGCAGTCTGTTGACAGAAACCTATTGCCAGCCATAGTGCAAAAAATCATAGAAATTCAAAAAGAAGTTTTTAGCCTAAAACATCCATCCTGTTCCTAGAAACCCCAAACAGAAAATTGCTCGACTATTGATATAGGATCATAGACGACTTTCCTAAACCACAAATCCAAGAAAAAAAGAGAGAAGGGAGACAGAGCCTGCGGATTCGAGACAGAGCATGCGGAATCGAGGCAGAGCCAGGCAACCAGCTACACCTCCGCACAGTGAATGAACGTTATATCTCCGTAGGTCGGCTCTCTCCTAAGAGTGAGCCTGCGGAACACTCTTTCGTTGGCGAGTGTGCGATGGGCCAAGCATGCATTAAACTTGAATTGCCGCCGCCCAGGCTCGGTTCTCTGTGAAAGTTCATGTTGATTTTGTTAGTTAGATAATTATATGAACAAAATTAAGGTTGAGTTCTTTGTACAAAAAAATTGTTAAGGTTGAGTTCTTTGTCCAAAAATTCAATAAACCATTAAAAAAAATCGACAATATAGTTCAAAGGGCAATAAACAAAAGAAACTACAAGATTGTTGAAAGGGCATCAAAGCCAACGTACATGTGTGCAAAATAACAGAAATTTTATGACGCACTAAACAATTAAAAATAGTCATTTCTAGTAACCAAATAAAAAAGCTATGTCACCATATTTAATAGAATAATGTATTATGTCTAATAGTCCTTTAGTTTTTTTAAATTATATATAATAGTTGCTATAAACCTATAATATTGGATATAACATCAATAAGTTTGTAAAATAATAAATTGATCATGTAATACAACATTGAAGTTAAAGAGTTGGGAAAAAACAATCACTTAATATATATATATATATATATATATATATATATATATATATATATATCCTTATTTATTGAAAACACAATTACATAATTCAATAATTAAAACTTAGTAAAAAGACAAACAAACAAATAAACTTGTCCAAAGGGCGGGCATCACTCTAGTTTATTATGTAGTTGTCTTTCTTTTTGTTATTTACTAAACTTTTTGACAACTGCCATTTATATTCAGTATAATAATTATATAAAAAAACATCTGTTAATATTGTATTTAAGCTAAAGTTTAAGGGTTTCTATCACACCCGTCTCCCTCAACATTGAGACGGCGTGCGTTCACCTTACTTATTTTTTCCTTTATTTCACTATCTTAATTCATCATGTCGTATTTTTCTAGAATACTTTTCTTTTATTAAAAACTTAATATAACCTTATCTAAAAAATAATATTAAATCGTTGAATAAAACGTATATGAAAATAACAATTAAAGTAACTAAACCCGAGGTTCCCGAAATACACCATCACAGAGACGGACTTGCGCGACTACTCACAATTCTCATCTTAACCTGGAGAAAAAGGAGAAAAAGGGGTGAGTAAAGAATTACTCAGTGAGAGGATCATTTCCGCCCACTGGAAATACGATACACAAAACTACCTTTACACAACAATCAACAATCACATAGAAAAAGACACAACACTCATATAGGCTGCACAATTATGCAAACTATAACACAAAATTCATTCTCGCCGCCCTTAGCGAGATCTCCACATCAATATATACCAGGTTCGATCATCTTCCCTGACCTTTGAACCTATCTAGTTCCACTGGACTCGTCAGTCTTTTATTGAGCTACAAAGAACCCGTCAATTCAATGTCGTAGACCATATTCCACTTTTCCACTGTTCCACTTTTAATCATCTCAAAAGATGGTAATTCCACTTTATCATATAACACATATAATAACTTGTCATCCCAATGACATTAACACAATCATCCTATATAACTAAAACAATCATCATATCATCAATCATCACTAACAATTTATTACTACTAAGCAAACAGATCTAATCCTATGCAAGAGAATCATGAAGCATAAAAATAGAAACTTGTAATCGCATCTCCGTAGATCACACCCTCACCTTAGCAACTCGGTTGGACCACGGATTAGGACTAGCAACAACGGATAACCGGTTCAACAACGATCTCAATCTGCAACGGTTTAGAATACCGATAAGAGATTATTTCCATTAATAATCTATGATTAATTGAAGAGAAATTGTTAAAAATGCCCTTTTTTCAATATCCCTTTTCAAAAATGCCCCCTTTGAGAGTCCATTTTTAAGTTTGCCCTCTTTTAATTTTTAATGACCATTTTACCCTTATTTGAGACAAAATTAGGTCCATAAAATACAAAATATTTTTTGGCGGGAAAAGTGATCCGCAATTTTTCCGCCAAAACACTTGTAAAAACCTTTAAAATACTTTGTAAAATTTTCCCGTAAAAATTTTTCCCGCCAAAAATTTTTTTTTGCGGGAAAAGTGATTCCGCAATTTTGTTGGAGAAATTTTTTTGGCGGGAAAAATTTACAAGGTATTTTAAAGGTTTTACGGAGTATTTACAAGTGTTTTGTTAGGTATTTTAAAACGTTTTACAAAGTACTTATAAGGTTTTATAAGGTATTTATAACTTGTAAAACCTTATAAAAAACTTGTAAAACCTTATAACTTGTAAAACCTTATAAAATAGCTTGTAAAATCTTATAATATCTTATAAATATCTTATAAATACGTTGTAAAACCTTTTAAAATACATTGTAAAACCTTATAAATACCCTGTAAAAAACCTTTAAAATACTTTGTAAATTTTTCCCGCCAAAAATTTAACGCCAAAAAAATTGCCGAATCATTTTTCCCGCAAAAAAAATTTTTGGCGGGAAAAAATTTTACAAGGTATTTTAAAGGTTTTACAATTTTTTACAAGTGTTTTGGCGGGAAAAATTGCGGGATCACTTTTCCCGCCAAAAAATATTTTGTATTTTGTGGACCTAATTTTGTTATATTTCCTTATATATTATTATTTGTGATATCTTTTATTAAAAGAAGGGTAATTTAGTCATTTTGTACATAGAAAAGGGTATTTTTAAAAATGGACAGCCAAAGGAGGTATTTTTGAAAAAGGGTATTGAAAAATGGGCATTTTTGTGAGTCTCCCTTAATTGAATAACCAAAACTCGATTTATTTGGTTTCCTTTTAGTATTTTTCTCCAATTAAATTAATTAGATCCGGTTAATATCAAACCAACCACTTCTAACAATTTAATAATAATCCAATACGTAACCATATCGGCAATACACAAATTAATTCACGTGCCCAGAATAATTGAGTTTGGTTTTACTACACCATACTAAACCACACCTAATAATTTAATATCACTCGCTAACGACGTAACTCACTACAACTTCCAAATCCATTCACGTGACCAAGCTAAATTTCCGGTTTAGCAATTAACCAATAATTGAACCAAGCTAGCTATCGTCTTCTTCACAATTCCACAACACAATGCTACGTTACCTTTACGACACAATTTCCGTACGTACTCATGATTCAAGTTCTGGTTATAGTCTTATAGACCTTGAGTTCACAAGAGATTAATGGTTTGGATCGGTTTAGCTTTGGTGCAATAATCAAACAACGCAACACATAACAACATGAGAAGATTACCTTTCTCGGTGGCTTTTCTCGGCGGGTCTCCCTTACGGTTTGCTTGGCGGCTGGAACGGCGGAGTGGCACAGATCTCTCCGGTGAGGACGATTCACGCGGTGGCTCCAGCTGAACACAACAACGATCTCTGGTGACTTGAGTGGTGCGTGGTTGAGGGCTTAGGGTTTCTGTGACTTGACGTGGAGTTTGCGTTCTCCTTTTATATGCACAAGGGATCACTAAGTTTTTACTTGGGTTTAATCATTAACGGGCTCGGTTTGAGACTACAAGAAAACATGGATTTAGCGACGACATTCAGCGACTGATACATTTGTCGCTGAATTTGAGGACTGAATTGATGTTGTCTAAACAACATTAGTCGCTAATCCGTCTGCATTTGGCGACTGATATAAATAGTCATTGTATAGTCGCCAAATATAACGACTAAGTAGCTTCTGAATAAATAGTCTTTAAAGTTGGCTACTAATTATCCACGTTTTAGGGACTACAATTTCTTATTGGGCCTTTTAATTCGATCCATTAGATTTTTGCGAAGGCCCATGCTATATCTCTCGACGAAAATTGCGGAAAACCCTAGATCCCCAATTCTCTCTATCTCTCGACGAACCCTAACCTTAACCCGACCACTTTCTCTCCGATTCGACCACTTTCTCTCCGATTCTCTCTCAATCTATCACAATCTCTACAAATCTCGTCAATTCTACTTCTTTTATCCCTAATCGATGGCTCCTCAGGTTCGTGGTGGAAAATCCAAAGGAAGAGGAAGAGGAAGGGGACCGAAGTCTCCGGCGAAGCGACCCGTTGTCCCAACTCGACCCACATCTTCCGGTGTGTCGACTCGAAGGCCTAGAAGCCTTGCGATTCTCATCGAGTTTTGTTTTTTTGGTTAGTGGGTTGTTATTAAGGTGAGAATCGAATTTGAAGATGGCGAGCGAAAGCCCTGATGTTGTTGTTGTAGCTCCCGTGGTGGAGAATGGCGGCGCTGAATCCTCTAATGGAAAAGATGAACAATTGGAATCTGAGCTTTCGAAGAAGCTTGAGATTGCAGAAGATGGTAAAGAGGACAACGATGAAGATGAAGGAAGCAAAGGTAAATAACTTGATTTTTATTTTTTTTTGGTGTTCTGATTGATCAAATAGTTTTGTCGTTGCGTCTTTAATTTTTGCACAAATTGAGAAAAAAAAAAGGATCTTTTGTGTCATTGATTTGAAGTTTAGGAATGTTCCAGTGACGATTTCTGGGATTAGTCTATCTGAGCTTGGTCTTACGATATCAAAGTTTTCGATTTGATCTTTTTTTTTCTGAGAATGGTTGATTAATAAAAGACTTGTGTTTTTTGATTTTTGAAGGTGAGACTTCAACGAAGAAGAAGAAGAAAAATAAAAGCAAGTAAGAGATGTTTTTTTTTGTTTCTTCTGAATTGTAACTTTTTGGTGTTTGCTTTAATGATGGTTTTGACTTTTGATTATGTTATAGGAAGAAGAAGGAACTCCCTCAACAGACTAATCCACCTTCGATTCCTGTCGTTGAGCTCTTCCCATCTGGAGAGTTTCCTGAAGGTGAAATCCAAGAGTCTGTTCATGTCAAGACTCTTCGTTGTTACCTTTATCACACTGTTTGTTTTTAAGTCTTGGTGCTTGATCTCTGTTTTTAGTAATCTGTGGAGAACAACATCTGAAGAGAAGAGAGAGTTGGAGCGTTTGGAAAAGCCAATATATAACTCTGTTCGCCAAGCTGCAGAAGTTCATCGCCAAGTTCACTTCTTTTTCACTAAATGACCACATATTAGAGTTTTTTCGTGGCCTCTTTTTTTGCAGCCGTCTGAAAGATCATTTTCTTAAAAGGGCGATCTTAAAATGGCGGACTGGAGTAAATTTCTTTTACAATAAACCAGTCCAAAATCTAGGAAAAATATTGAAGAAGATAGATTGGTGACCATGATGATCAACGACGTCTAAGCTGTTTCTGCGTCATTTGGTAAGAGAAACTTTTGTCTCTTTTGATTTCTCTAATTCAAAATAAAAAAAAAAGGGAGATTTTGATTCGTTATTGAAATTATTCTCTTTGAGTTTGTTTAATTTATTTAGAAAGAAGTAATTTTTAAAATAGAAAAACGTAGAGCTTGAAGTTCACGCTTGTAAAGGTGTCAGTTTGCAGCTCATTCTCGCCATGTTCTTCTCTCTCGCGCTCTTTGTGTTTTCTTCTCTTTGCTCATAAAAACCACTGTAATGTATGTCCAGGTCTTCTTTGTATTGCTCTGAAGAGTTGTTTCGTACTTGAGATTTAGGGATTTCGTTTTGACAATGGAGGAGATGCCAAGAGGAGTACTTACGTGGCAAGACGAGTTAGCTAGTCTCATGGACGGAGGTGTACAATACGATTGATCTGACGGCGGATTCTGAATCAAGGTCAAAGAGTTTGGGTTTCGGGTATGTTTGTATTTATGTCTTGTGAACTTGATATTTTGGACTTGTACTTTTGGTCTTGTGAACTTGTATGTTTTTTTTATTAAGAACTTCTTTTAATTCAAAAGTAGTTTTTGTATGTTTGGTTTTAATTAGTAAATGCAAACGTAATTGGAATCAAAATAAGCAGGCAAAATCGATAAATAAACCTCCAATAAGTCGCAAAACGATAGCAATTCAGTCACTAAAACATTCATAAAACAGTCGCCTTGTAGTGTCTTTTTGTCGATTCCGCAGTCACCTATCGGTCGCCAAAACAGTCGTCCAATAGTAACCTATTAGTAGCAAAACAGTCGCCACTTTAGCGACTCATAAGCAACGTAAAAGCGACATAAAATAGTTGTCGCAGAATGGTCGCTATTAAGCGACTATTATGCTACTAGTTATTTTAGCGACGCAGTGTTCGGCGACAACGTTTATTAGTCGCTAATTAGTCGTTATTATGTGTTTAGCGACTCTTTAGTGACGTTTCTTGTAGTCGCTAAATCCATGTTTTCTTGTAGAATTATGGAAACTTTGATAAAAATAAATACAAATTTTATATTCTTTCATATGATCTTTATTTCTTACTTAATTTGTATGATTAACTAAAAAAAAATTGAATTCAAAACATAATCAAGTCAAATGTATACAATATTAAAAATCAGAAAACTATTTACTCGAGATATACGAAACTCAAACGTCGAGTAATTATGTAAAAGAAATAAAGAATGGCATAAACTATTTGAATTGTGAAATCGGGTCGTTATAGTTTCACATAGTTTCTTTCGAAACCAATATCTTTTTGATAAATTAACATCATACTATACACTGTAAATCATATGATATGTGTGGAAATTTAAAACTAAAAGTTTGGTATGTTTTTGAAATAATTAGTAAAATGTAGTTGTCTCATGCATAAAATATTCTGATAAAGTCAAGATATTTTCTTCACCTTTCAAACATCCACAAGATGTTATACTCTGAAATTTTGTTAGCAGTTGTTTTTTAAATTTATACATGGAAGCTTATTTTTTAAATTTCCAACTCTTAAAAAAATTTGGTCAACTATTAAATACCTTACAATGATGTGTTGAAAGTAAATCAGAGATAAGATTGCAAAATTGTTGTTGAAAATTTTCAACAATGTGAACAATTTGTGGGTGGATTTTTGGGTGGATTTTTCTTTGACATGTGACAAACTTTGCTTGGGCAAAAAAACCGGAGAAAGAGTTGAGTTTTGATTGGACACATGAAATGCATTTTGATTGGTTCGTCAAATAAGCCAAAATGTTCATTGGTTCGTCAAATAAACCAAATGTGGTTATGTTGAATTAAACGATACAAACAATTCATTTAAATAAATTTTTGTACGTAATTCGAACTTTTAAATTTTCGTAATTCAAAATTTCAAAAAAAAAATGAAGAACTGTAAACGAGAAACGTGACCGTTGATATCAAATATACTAAAAGTTGCATTGGTATGTCAAATATACCGAATGTTACAACGGTTCGTCAAATAAACTAAAGATTGCAACAGTTTAACTTAATGTTTACTATTTATTTACGCTTAACACAATATAGTGACTGAGTCCACTCCAACAAAGATTAAATTACATCCTTGATACGAACTCCCAAAGATTGCACACTCTTGTTGGTATTGAAATGGATAGATCCTTGGATGAACAAGGCGGGGAAAGTGAATGGCTGCGTCGAGGGCTATGAACGGCACTCGGTAAACCTGGTTTGAACCGTAGGCTAACCAACAAAGGAACGGTTGTGACTCAACCACCTTGGAATCGATTGAGATCAAGAGGCTAACCACCCAATGATCGAAGTGATTTCGTTGGCTAACCACCAAAGAGATCGAAAAAGTTCACAAACAACAAGAGAGAAACTTCTCAAAAGATTTTAGATAAAAGATTATTATTGAAATGAAAGGATTACATGAGTTTATAAGAAGAAGAATGAGAAGAGGCTAGTCAACAAGACTACCTTGAAAATGAAAACAAAGACTAAGACCAAAGACTAAAATAAATTAGAGTTTGAATGACCCTTGGACTCCAAGTTGGCGAGAATGTTCCATGGGTTTGGTCATGTCCTTTTGATTTATTTCCAACCATAATATAAATGCAATTCACATGAGTTTGGACCGTCCATGGTAAGCATAAGTCATTGCCTCGTTAAAACCTCTACTCGGAAAACCCATTAGGACAAAACCGAATATAGGAAAAAGAGTACAACAACTTAGCTTGCGGCCAATCTCAAGATGAATCCACAAATGATATTGAGGTGAAGGTACATTGCGTAAGTTGGTCTTCCTCCTTGTTCCTAACGTTGCCAAGTACTTTCCAAACAGCTCCGGCTAGCTTCCTTGTCTTGGATCGCGTCATGGGGCCTTCGGGAACGATCAAGACTTGTTAGTGTACCCATCATGAACCGTCCTTCGATCGTACTGCCATGGTCTTCCAAGTAGAATGAGACCAGCTTCCATGGATAACACATCGCAAAGGATTTCATCCTCATATCGGCCAATAGACAAAGATACCAAAACTTGATGTGTCACCGTTTGTTTTTGGTTACTCAACCATCTTAGACTATACGGTCGTGGATGTTTCTTCATCTCCAAGTTTAGTTTCTTCACCAAAGTCATGCTAGCTACATTATTACAACTTCCGCCATCGATAATTAGGCTACATACCTTATCTTTGATATGGCATCGCGTGTGGAACAAGTTTTCCCGTTGTTCGTCTTCTAGACTTTGCTCTTGAGAAAGAAGAACTCGTCTTGCCACAAGTAACTCTCCTTTAACCGCATGTTCCTCATCGTCATCATAGATTGGTGCGGAGTCATAGTCCTTCTCATCTTCGGTCACGATCTCGCCGCTATCTAGCATCAACATGGCGCGCTGGTTTGGGCACTTGTTCGCATAATGACCTTTGCCTTTACACCTGAAACATTCTATGTCACGGTTACGAATAGAAGTAGAAGCCTCGGTCTTACCCTTGTGGTCTTGACTTGAAACGTTAGGCTTGAGTTCCGATTTTGGCTTGGAATCGGTGCGGATTGGGTAACTTGGCTTCTTGCTTTTAGGGTAACTTGGCTTGGTTGAGACGCTCTTTCTCCTAAGTTGCTGTTCCACGAGAATGGCCTTGTGCAACATCTCCTCTATGGTGTCATAAGTTTGCATCTCCATACGATCTTGTAATTCTCGATTCATTCCGGATAGGAATCGGGCCATTTTTGCATTACGGTGTTCATCTACATCGGCTTTGAGCATGAGTTTCTCCATTTCTTGGAAATAATCTTCCACATTCCTACTTCCTTGAGATAGCCTTCGTAGTTTTTGGTGCAATTCTCGGTGGTAATGGTTCGGAATGAACCGTCTTCTCATAAGTATCATCATCTCTTCCCAAGTCTCTACGGGATTTTCTCTATTTCGCTTCCTGTTAGTCACCAATTGATCCCACCAGTCAATAGCATAATCATGAAATCCAGTGGCTGCTAACCTGACTTTCTTGCGATCGGAAAAGTGTTGACAATCGAAGAGTTGGTCGATCTTTTTTTCCCACTCAAGGAAAGCATCGGGATCGTTTTTCCCATGGAATGGTGGAATGCGTAGCTTCAAGCCGCCAAGATCATTTTCATTTCTTCCTCTGGCCGGTGGTTGCCTATCTTGTTCCCCATCGGTGAAGTCGTGAAACGGATTGTCGTATGGCTCCATTCGTTGTTGTTGTTGGTTTCGCCGGTGTTGCCTATGTCTAGGCGGTACTCGATGATATCTTTGATGAACACTTCCGCCCGACCCTTGACTCTCCGCCGAGTTATTTCCTCTTTCATGGCCATGGTTAGTTCTTTCATCCCTTTCTCGTCCAACAGCAAGAGTAGCCATTTGGTCTCTCATTTCGTCTAGCATTGTGGACATGGCTTCCATTTGGCGGGCCATTTCGGCTTCTCTTTCCTTCCGTGAAACATGGCTTCCATTGGACATTTTTCCTCGCAAAAAGAACAAACACGTTAGTAAAAATATTCCTCACAAGTGTTTCACTCAAGTGTTTCTCACAACCCTCACAATATTCTCACACACACACAAGAAGTTCTCCTCGGTTCTTAAGAAACTAAATCGAAACAATTCGATGGTAGCGTCAAAAACCAAATCGTCAAACTAAGGTAGATAGATAGATAGATGGTGAAGAATTTCTTTAACCAAATCGTTTTTTTTTTTTTTTTTTTGAAAGATCTTTTGCGATTTCTCTTTTTTTTTTTTTTTTTTTGATCTTCGATTTTCCTTTTTTTTTTTTTGAATTGGTTTCTTACAAAAGATAGAAAGAAAAGATATAGAATAAAGAGATGAAGAGATATAGATTGCTTAGAAAATACCGATATTCAAGAGCGTGGCTCTGATACCACTTGATACGAACTCCCAAAGATTGCACACTCTTGTTGGTATTGAAATGGATAGATCCTTGGATGAACAAGGCGGGGAAAGTGAATGGCTGCGTCGAGGGCTATGAACGGCACTCGGTAAACCTGGTTTGAACCGTAGGCTAACCAACAAAGGAACGGTTGTGACTCAACCACCTTGGAATCGATTGAGATCAAGAGGCTAACCACCCAATGATCGAAGTGATTTCGTTGGCTAACCACCAAAGAGATCGAAAAAGTTCACAAACAACAAGAGAGAAACTTCTCAAAAGATTTTAGATAAAAGATTATTATTGAAATGAAAGGATTACATGAGTTTATAAGAAGAAGAATGAGAAGAGGCTAGTCAACAAGACTACCTTGAAAATGAAAACAAAGACTAAGACCAAAGACTAAAATAAATTAGAGTTTGAATGACCCTTGGACTCCAAGTTGGCGAGAATGTTCCATGGGTTTGGTCATGTCCTTTTGATTTATTTCCAACCATAATATAAATGCAATTCACATGAGTTTGGACCGTCCATGGTAAGCATAAGTCATTGCCTCGTTAAAACCTCTACTCGGAAAACCCATTGGGACAAAACCGAGTATAGGAAAAAGAGTACAACAACTTAGCTTGCGGCCAATCTCAAGATGAATCCACAAATGATATTGAGGTGAAGGTGCATTGCGTAA